TGCAATCAGCCGCTGAAGAACGCAGGCAAAGCGTTTCCATCATAGAGAAACATACTATATGAAGAGTGGCCACTCGACCCTTTTCGCGGTCCAGCAAGATAGGCTCTGACCAACCGCTAGATGACACGCCCATGCTCGCTTCTACCCTTCTGTTACGACATATAATAGCCACCTCAGAATGTCAATAGAAACATAAGATTTGCATCAAATTTTTTAAAAGACGAAACTTTATTAATTCGTGCAATTTTCCACATCCGCTTTACAACGTGCCCTACTGAGGACGTTGAATGCTTTACCACAAATATCTGTAAAGTTTGAATAGAAAGTGTTGTTTTTCTGCATTTGTTTTGCACAAAGGGTATAAATTGATATGGTTTAGATGTGCTGTAGATGTATTCCTTTCGTGCACGGATGTGTGTGTAGCCTAATGGTAAAGATACTCGTTTTCGGAGCATGAGGGTACGGCTGCAAATCACAGCATGAAAAAAATGAAATTAGTTATTTTGTTTATGCAAAATACATTATCGGGTCTGACCTGACACTCGTGGCACTGAAAGCAGCGCAGTAACTAGGCCGCAGGGCCCTGCACGGGAGTGTCCGCTTTTTATGTAAATATGTTTCTCTATGATTCCATGTTCTCTTTAAAAAATTTGACACTGAATGATAAGGATACAATAAGTATAAACGACGAAATAGTAATACGGCAATACATCAAATCACGCAAGTACAAGTGCAAGTGTATTAGTGTAGGAAATTACGTATACTGGTGAAATGAAGTTGTTTGTAATTGGTAAAAGCGAATTCAACATCATTATTTTTAATACTCGGCTTTTTATTATTCTGGGTGTCCACGTAGAGGTATGCACATAGACTTCCAGCACAAAACTGGAAAAAAAATCAGGTTTGCTGAAACACACCATGTGTTCACGCTCACACACCTCACAGACCAATTACCACAGAATTAAAACTTGGGCTTGTTGGTTGTGCACGGTGTAATTGTGGTTCTAGCGTACAAAAACACGAGAAAAAAACAAGCACTTTAAATCACTTCTTATGCGTTTTTTGTGTGTTTGTGTGCTATAACAACACCTGAACCTTTGACCTACACACATAAGTCTGCAAATTCACGCATGAGTCAACTCTATCCGACTCAATCCGACTCAGATTTGGCCGTGAGTCTGAGTGTGAGCGAAACAGCGTAAGCACTATTATGGTGAGTCCGAGTGAGTCCGGCCGAAGAATCTTTTAGCAAATCGTAGTCTGAATGAGCCTTAAAAGCAGAATGTGTTTATTTTTGTGCTTCTGAGTGAGCTGCCCTTTTTTTTGCCCACCTACGATGCCCAAGTTTATACTCAAGTCACTTCACACATATATCAGCACGTTAGCGTTGAGGAACCATATCTATATAGGTTGATCAGAGGTGTCAGTTATAAGACTCACATCAAAGTGTTGGAAACTCTTTTATGCGATGCTTTTGATCTCGCGTAGGTCGTGTATTTCATAAAAATGGCCTTGCTGTATTCAAATAATCGATAAGCCGTATATGAAAATACAAGGTCGATATACGCATCGTAAGAGCATCAATGTTCTAACATATATTAGCCTCATTGAGCATGCAGTCGCACCTTGATTGAAAAAGAAAAGGTTAATTTTATTTTGGTGGACACGGGAGTCGATCGCTGAGTCTGAGTGAGTCTTAAGAACCAAAGATTATCATTGAGACAGTCTGGGTGAGCTGCAACTTCTGCCGACTTATTGAGGCTATAAAGTCCTTTAATAGTAGGTCACGATAACGCAAGCGGTTCTCCTGTGCATCGCCTTTTGCACTGCTACCCTGCATTTGTTCTCGGTGCATGCCTCGACTCTGCCGTAAGGAAACGAGCCACATTGACCGTTTTGAAGTATCATTGAATGCCTATTGCAGGCACAGTTGTTAGGTGTCCACTACATCGTAAACTTTAGATGCGGAGCATCTAATACTCGAGGCTTGTAGTGCGGCGCCGTCCGCAAGCTTCCTCCTCCTTCTTCCACCATCTGTGCATCCCTTCCTCCTCTACACACCGCGCGCGCTTCACTCCTCCACCATCTGTGCACCCTTACTCCTCTACACACCGCGTGCGCTTCTCCTCTTCACGAACATTCGCTAGCTGTATAATGTAGCGCGCATGCGCCGTCACGCTTCGAGAACATCGGCAGCTGACGCGCGCGCATGCGCCGTCGCGCTTCGAGAACATCTGCAGCTGACGCGCGCGCATGCGCCGTTGCGCTTCTCCCCCTTCTCGAACATTCGACAGCTGACGCGCGCATGCACCGTCACCCACCATCTGTGCCGCGCGCGCTTCTCCCCTTCGAGAACATTCTACAATTCTCCTGATTCTCCAGTGGACGCGCATGCGCCGTCGCGCTTCGAGAACATTCAACAGCTGACAGTGCATGCGCCGTCGCGCTGTATATATACTCAAGGTCGGCGCTCGCTCGCTCAGTTGCCACTCGTCGGTTGGTTTGTACGGCGCGTTGACGTCCAAGGTCGCGGTGAAATGAATTTCAACGAATCCACAAACACAATGATCGACGTCCCTTCGACCAGCGCCGCCCTTTCGCATACGTGTGCACGTGTTCACTCATTTAACACCCCCTCCTACAACCACGTTAACCAATTTAGCCATCGACCCAAGTAAGTCGCAATGTAACACCCCATTTCACAACCACGTTAACCAATTTAGCCATCGACCCAAGTAAGTCGCACTTTAACACCCCGTTAACCAATTATATGCTCCGCATCCTCCTCAGTGTTCCCCCGAGGGAAGCTGCGGGCAATTTTTTTCTTTGCGAATGAGTGAACGGCCCTAAACGTGTCCATAGGGCAACACGCGAATCTACGCAGCTGTTCCCTTTGTTGGTGGTTTTGCTGCGATGATAATAGAACATGTCAAAGAGCTTGTAAGGGCTGGCATTTAAAACACTCACTTGCTGCTGCATTCAAATGTTTGGACTTCTGATGCGAATCGCTTCTCTCATGTTTTATATGATGGTTTAGGGAGACTCCGTCCGCTATATGACATTCACATAAAGTGTTCTTTTTCAAAGCGCTTTCAACAAACGTCTTACACTTTTTTGCCATTGTACAGTAATGGCAAACATTAGCTAAAAGGCCTTCTCTAGCATTGTCTACTTAATTGCTGCACTCCCGTATTGTTTTCACAATCAGTTACATCCTGAATTACTGTATTCTTTATGGAAAGAGCACCTTCAAGTTATTCGAAAAAATCTGTCTTGTATCACTGCAGCTTTCTTATCAGCGTTTGACTGGGCTTGCTGCAACTTTGTTAATACTGTTAGTCTTTACAGATTCAGCCTGTAATGAGAACTTGGGTATGTCAAAATTTTTTGCATGCTGTGTTTTTACGAGCTGCAATGCAAAAAATATTAGTGGTTCTCGTATGAAATATCAATTGACAGACTATAGGGTTAAGGGTCTTGTCTTTTGTTTTGCCAAATTATAAAGAGAACTAACAGATAATAATGCCAGACAAGTATAAAAGATGTTATTGGAAGCAATTAAATTGTAAATTTGAAGAAAAAAGGTGTATTAAAAGTTGACTTCCCGTGAGCAGGGATCGAACCTGTAATGTCGCAATAACTCTTTCGATTATCTACCAACTTAGCTAATGTGGCGGCTATCCCCCTGTTCAGATAAAGGGGTATAAATGTGTCATAAACGTTGGTGCGTCAGTCAGCGCCGCCTCTTTCCATTGGCAGATTTGGTTTCTGCTATCGGCAAGTTATGTTTAGTGCACATTTTAACCTCAAATTTAAATAGCAATTACTCCTGATAAAATCGCCTATACATTCCCTGGGATTACCCTCTGCTAGTTCTCAATTATATGGTACGCAACGAAAAACGAACCATTTAGGACGTTAAATTTCACAGGTCAAATAAATCCTTCTCATGGATAGCTCTTGTTTAGATGTCATGGCAAGCCTGTGCCTCTTATCTTTAGGAATGTGTGGTGAACAAACTTGAGGATGCGCAGCTTTCATGCAGTATCGTGGTAGCGATCTTTATCGCAGCAAATCAGTGCCCCAAATATTTCGTTGTAAACTACATTGCGTGGCTGCATGAATGCAAGTGAAATGCGTGATGGTACTTAGTTTAGCAGCAGCGCAGAGCTGTGCAACTTTTTAACCAGCGCACTTGTTTCTCTCAGTGATTATCATGGATAGCTGGACTGTTATTATAAGAGCCCTATTGTGATTCTGTTCAAATACGTCAACTTACGGCAATTTAACGTCACACAAGCAATGTCAGCATTGTTGACATGATGCAAAGAAATTAGCTCAGCCGTATTGTAGTTGAATTAGAATTGAGGACACCTAATGAGGCAAAGAATTTCGCTCAACTGTATTGTAGTTAGCTGTTTGCTTTCTCGGCATCTAAGTTGAACAGTGTGATAGCATAAAACATTCATCAAGGGCTTAAACTCGGCAGTGAAATTTGCTGTAGATAAAATAGTCCTGTATTACGTACACGATATCCCTGCATATACCTAATAATGCTGAATGCACAATTGCGAACATAAAATAGGAAGCCGAAAAACATGTAAATATTTTAGCACTATCTTCTTTTTGCGTTCGACCATTTGCGTAATTGTTCGAAGCACTCTTCTGGTAATATGTCCGCAAAGCGTAGCAACACAGCCTGTTGTAACTTGAACACATAGGTGAAGTGCGCTCAATCAAAGAACATATATCTTTATGAAACCACCAATCTTGGAATTTTCGTTCACAACATAAGCCTCTTGTTGGCAACAAAGAATATTTTGATACAAAATTTTCAAAAGAAAAACTTACAGAACAATGTACTCATTGTTCAGAGAGGTCTAGAAACGTAAGTTCTGTGAAAAACACATATAGCAAAAAGAAAAAATGAGGTAATGTATGATGCACTTTGTCACGCCACCGCCTACCCTTCCGCACTATTCGAAGAAAGCTTTGCCATGCTAGTACAACAATTTATGGCTGTGTTGAAGTTCCTTTGTTGCCTGGAGTACGGTTCGGGTAAGAGATTACATTTCGAGGTGGACGGTACTGCATGGAGCAATACCCTGTTTGTGATTTATTGCAAAATACTGGCAAAAAATACAATGTTCACCAACACTGTCACTTGAATGCACTTCTATGAGCTCCTATAAGCATTTTGTGCCGAAACGCTCAGCAGTGTGGTAAATTGCCGGATGTTAAATTCAAAAAGTAGACACACACACCAATGTTTGCAAATTGACTAAAAAAACTGAGGGCTATGCGAAGCGCATACTGTCACTTCTTCCATCTTCAGTTCCTGTCAAACCAATTACATTTTATCTCGAGCTCTTATATAAAGCAAAAGTTACCCAATCGGGCGTATTTATCACGGTAGGAAATGGCCAAACACTGAACGTTTTGATGCCACGTTTGAGTCCTTGAGCACTTTGGCTTTGAGAAGCGTGAGTGAATAAGCCAAAAAATAAATAAGTCATATATATTCAGAATCCTAATCGCATATTACGTATTTCAATCATCGCATAATTTTTAAATACCATGAATTATTACGCATTGATAGGGTAACGCCAACTTAAGGACACCTATGTAATTTTACTCATTAAATCGCCAGAAGAAACACACCTAAAGTTTGCGTGACAATTAATTCCCCATTCATTATCATCTAAAGGCTTTTTTAAACAAAAATATATTGTTACAGGAGCGATAATGTCAGTAATTCACCATCATTATCAGGACACTGAGGGCATTGTTAGCCGGACACTCAGTTAAAAATGGAAGCGATACGTAGGTGGCACAGTTATCTTGCTTTGATTTGTATTGAAAATGGCGAATATTTGTTTATTGTTCTAATTTTATATGTGTGCGTTCTCTCGCTGATGCACGTTTAAATTCGTCATGTATTCTCTATGTTAGAAGACAGTACGATTCGGAGTTTTGATACAACCTGTTTTCTAGTTCGAATCCGCGCAATCGACAGCGGGGGACAGGAGACACGACACAAAGCGCTGAACATGTTCGCCTGCACACAAAACTTTGTGTTTTTTATGTCCTCTCTTGTCAGTTGCACTGATTGCAGCCATGATTATGTCCTCTCTTGTCGGTTGCACTGATTTCAACCAAGAATACTATGTGAAATGTGTAGAGCAGCAGGCACTTCCTGTGTTCATCTTGTCCAATGCTAACATAAAGCTTCAACTGAAGTGTTTTGTGTGTGTAACATGGTGTGACAGATAGGCTAATAAGCATTCATTTTTATCAGTTCTTAGAGCTAAGGTAAATGATGTAGCCAGGGAGTATTTGAATTGAGGCTCACACACCTCCAAAAATTCTTTATATTACATACCGTTATGTTTGCGCACACGTAGCAAACGGCACAGTCATAAATGGGAGTTGACTACCTACCCCTTTTACAATAAACTCTTGGCAAATTGCAATGCATCGTGGGAGCGTAAATAACACATTTCATTTGTTTTCTCAAGTATTGTGAATGAATGTCATCTGAATAAACATTGTGAAATTTTCGAGAGAGTTTTATTCTAGGCTTTCTCATATGAAAGCACTTTTGATAGTGAGGTCACTGTTGCATGCAAACCTCATGAAATGCCTCGGTTGCTTTATTCGCTTCTGTATAAGAATTTACTTCGGATTAGAAGTTTGTGGTAGTACTGGTCGCCTAAAATTTTCTGTTAAGGTCAAGCTCGATAGCTTGAGAGAAAAATGTTGTATTCTATGAAACGGCTCTGCAATTTTTTGCGTGTGGACAGTGTTTTTTTTACTATTTACTATGTATATAAAACAATATTTTACCTGCATTTGTATTTCATTTGGTTTGAAAGTTTTCTCTCCCAATTCTGCTGGTGCTTTCTTCGAAAGCGAAATATGTCTAATGTCAGAACGACAAAAGACTTGGTCACTAATTTTTTTATATGTCAATACTGTTACGCTGCACTTTACAATAGATATTGAAGTCCCAAAATTATTAGCACTTCATTATTGAAAATTCAAATGCAGAAGGACCTCTTCTTCATAGTCTTCGGGTATGACACTGTGCACAACTTTAGCCCCGCCGCGGTGGTCTAGTGGTTAAGGTACTCGGCTGCTGACCCGCAGGTCACGGAATCGAATCCCGGCTGTGGCGGCTGCATTTCCCATGGAGGCGGAAATGTTGTATGACCGTGTGCTCTGATTTGGGTGCACGTTAAAGAACCACAGGTGGTCGAAATTTCCGGAGCCTTCCACTACGCAGTCTCTCTTAATCATATGGTGGTTTTGGGACGTTAAACCCCAAAAGTCAATCAATCACGGTGCACAGCTTTGTTTTGATGAATGAAAACAGTTATTGTTATGTTTACTTATACATGTTTGTCTTTACAGGAGCAGCACCCGAAGCGGAACGGGGTATGTGAGAATGCTGCACGTCATGTGGTATGGAGGCGTTGTGAGTAATAAAAAAAGGCGTTTATCAAAATAGCTGTACGTTAGGTATAATGTGGTCCTAGAGGGGCGGAAGGGGATTCGATTAGAAATTGGTTTTCTGACAAGCTTTTATCAGGGAGCACAGGATCATTTCCCTTCTTTAAGGCGACAATAATGAGGACGCTCATGTGCAAATACACGTGGCCACTAGACGCTTCAGAAATGGCTCTGCGAAGCACAAACGAGAATCTCTTAAATTATTACGTGGACAAAGCAGACTTTTTTTACTCAAGAAGACGTCTACACAAAATAAACAAGTATCACATTTCGGCAAAGGTCCACATCAGCAATGGGAGAAGAAACTCATCTATGGAAATAATGTGGTGCGCTACAATACATTACTTTTCATGAGGAGAATGTATCACAGCAATCGTGCAATTTTCTGAGCAGTGATTTTGTAACGATTTTTATTGTCAGACATTTCGGAAATGTAAACACCATGGTTTACTATAGTAGGCTATTACAGCTGCGTTACTCTGTTCGTCTGCATGAGGTACTAATATAGCACCTTGGTACAACCTATTTTTAGACCAATGCCTCAGTGACGTTATCAAACACAGTAATGGACCATTGTTCCGCGTCAGAACCCCAAGGCAGTGGCGGAAAGAACAGCTAAGCAAAATACATGTGATAACTTACTTACGGTGATGACGTAGTAGTTAGAACATCAGCTTTGCACGCAAAAATTCTGTGGTTTGAATCCAGGTGCCACGCCGTTCCCAACCAGATTTTTAAGAATCCACATGGCGATAGGAATGCATGAAGAAGCTTAGGGTAGGCCTTCACCGGTGTCCACCACGGTTAACGCCATCCTCACCAGAGAAGGACCTTGGTGCAGTATCCGGCCACTACTTTTCACATGCATACCTCAATTAACTCACGGCACTTAGTCCCAAGCGACTGTGAAGCAACTTACCACGAAGGCGGTCAGATGTGCAATGCAGCAGAGGGTGCTAAGAATTTCTGGATCCGTACAGGCCGCCATGGGAACCTGAACTTTGCAACGTTTAATGCTAGAACCTTATCTAGTGAGGCAAGTCTAGCTGTACTATTTGAGGAGCGAGAGGGTGTCAAATAGGATATAAGGCTCAGTGAGGTTAGGAGGACATTTGAGACCTATACGATTCTACAGAATGGGCACGTCCTTTGCTATCAGGGCTTGGCTGACAGAAGACAACTGGAAGTGTGGTTCCTAATTCACAGAAACATAGTTAGCAACATACAGGAATACTATAGCATTGATAAAATAGAAGTAAGTATCGCAATTAAACCCAACAAGGGATACAGGATGAAGGTGGCACAGGCTTATGCGCCTACATCCAGCCAGGATGATGCATCAGTTGAAAGCTTCTATGAACACGTAGAATCGCCAATGAGTAAGTTAAAAACACAGTATACTATGCTGACGGGATACTTCAAGGCAAAGGTAGAGAAGAAGCACGCTGGAGACCAGGCAGCAGGAAATTATGGCATCAGTACTAGAAATGCCAGAAGGGAGCTACCATTAGAATTCGCAGAAAGCAATAATTTACAGATTTTGAATATCTTCCACCGAAAACGAAGGAAAAGTAAGTGGACCTGGAGTAGACCTAATGGCAAAAGTAAGAATAAAGTAGAGTTTATATTAGGTGCACACCAAGGCATCCTGCAGGATATCGAAGTGCTTGACAAGGTACGATGCATTGAGCATAAAATGCGTCTGTCTTGAATTCGCATATACTTGAAGAAAGACCGACAGAAATTGATACGCAAGGAGCTTATTATTGAGCTAGCACTGAAAGGGAAAGTACAAGAATTCAGAATAGCACTTCCGAACAGGTGCTCGGCTCGTATTGAGGAAAGCAGCCTTAGCATTGACGCAATAAATGATAATCTGATGAGTGTCATTACGGAGTGTGCAGTGGATGTTGGAGGTATGGTAGTTAGGCAAAAGACTGGCGAGCAGTTCAAGGAAACAAAAAATCTTGATAACAAACGTCAAAACTTAAAATCCTCAAGTACAACATACAAAATATTGGTCGTCGAGCTTTCGAAGTTGATTAATAAGCGTAAGGTATGCGATGTAGGAAGGTATAGCACGGAGAGAATGGAGCAAGCTCGAATAAATTGAGAAAGCGTCAAAGCAGTGAGGAGAAAACGTGGGATAGGTAAAAATCGAATGCATGCACTAAGAGATGAGGAAGGCAAAATAACTATCAACATGAATAGGATAGCTAAAAAAGCGGGGCAGTTTCTCAGAGATCGGAACAGTAGCCGGGACAACCACGACCTTAAAACTATGAGAAGCCAGAAAAGCCTTGGAGAGCATGCAACGAGGCAAAACTGCAGGTGAGGATCAGGTAACTTCAGATCTGTGAAATAATTGAGTAGAGATTGTGTTACAAAAACTACCCATGAAAGTAAATATTCGACAGAAGTCTGTCTCGTTCGGTATGAAAGTGGGAGATGATTTAGACTTCAACCAAAATTTTTGAACAAAACCGACGTTTCGAAACCAACCTGGTTTTTTCTCAGGGGTGACTGCGGAGGCTACGTAGCAGCGTCGTCCTCAAAGCAATCGTGGGGTGGCTCATGCCCCTCCCCTTTTTCTCTCTCTCTCGTTTTGCAAGAAAGCGTGACGGCCTGGAGTTCTCCGTTCATACAAAGCCAACGAACACTGGCCACTACCTTTAATTCGATTCTTCCCACCCCGCCAGCCACAAGGCCTTGGTTGTCACCACGATACCCGAGAGAGCTAGGAACTTATGCTTTAATGACACCGAGCGAAAGAAAGAGGAGGCCCGCGTAATTGCTGACCTCAGAAAAAACGGATACCCGAAAAACCTCATTCGAGCCACCACCCGCCGCGCAGAGCAAACGAGGATACGAAAACACCAATCAACCTCAATTGACAGGCCCCCGAAACGCATACCGGTTCTGTACGTTCAGGGAACCAGCGAGATGTTAGCGTGGATCTTCAGGAAGGAAGGGGTTCGCATCGCGCACGTGCCTTCGTGTACGCTGGGCTGCCTCCTCCCCGCCCGAAAGACCAGCCATTAATAGACAGGTGCCCCGGTGTCGCTTGCCGAATTCCGTGGGCCGACTGCCCTTCGTCGTATATCGGCGAGACGAAAAGCCTGCCGGAATGACTAAAGCAACACGCCGACGATGTGCGGGTGTTCTACAAAGAGCGCAGCGCTGTCGCCGAACATGCTGTGACGTTGGATCACAAAATAAATTTTGAAGCGACGGCCATCCCTGAAAGAGAGCCAAACTTGAGGAGAAGGTTGTTATACCCCTGTCACACGGGCACCCTTGAAGACCGTTTAACTCCCTCATCCTTATGACAACAAAGATGCGGTCAATGGCACACGGCCACCCTTACACAAACGAAGGTGAACGGAGCATATCGTAAATGACGTTCAACGATCTCCCTTCGCAGCGAAACGAGATACTCTCGTCCCCAGCAGTCTAGAGGTCAGAGAAAAATTTCGGGCAATAAGTGACTGCAGTGAAAGAATAATACATTTTAGCAATAATAAACGTTCTTTCGTTATAGTACTCATTCACAACGCGTATTTGTTTACATATATTTACGCACGCCAGAGTTCACTTACTCTCAACACCGATGCCCTACACACCGTGCCTCGCGAGTCGGGCTGGCCGGTGCCAGCTGATCAACGTCATTACAAGTGCAATATCGCACCACTTCCTCACGCCGTCCTCTGTGTCACTCATGGCTGAAGAACACAAAATGTGCGTTCATGAGGCAAGGAAGCATAAGAACTTTCGTACCGGGCATGTACACAGGCAACAAAAGAACTAAAATCACAATGTGGCCAGCGTCACTAGCAGCATTGCTACATTTAGCAAATGCCTTTTTATTTGAAATTATTTTTAATGATTTATTAGTCGCATACCTACTTAATAGTGCTTTTTTGTAAAAACCGCATAACGAGGATTCACAAAAGATCAATAGGGATCAAATTAGAATACTTTTCCGAAAATAAAACAGCGCCAGCTGAGCCCCCTCACGGCAACTGTTACAACCTTGCCATTGCCGTGTGACACTGCCACAACTTCTTCTCCGTCGAACCCCCTAGGGGAAATTTACGTTGACGGTGTTCAACGAAGTTTGGTAGTGGCCGTGTGACAGGGGTATTATTCGAGCCGTGGTACATACAGAGGACAGCCCATAATATCAACCGCTCGTTCGGAAACCTTCCCCCAGTGTATTCACACACACTGCGCTCCAGGGCAAAACGAGAGGGGGGGGGGTCATGATCAACCCCGCGAGTGCTTTGAAGACGACGCTGCTACGTAGCTTCCGCAGTCTCACCTGAGGAAGGAACCAATTCGGTTCCGAAACGTCTGGTGTCTTCAAAACTTTTGGTTGGAGTGTAAATTATCTCCCAAAAACTAGCCAGCCTGTTTACGAGGTGTCGCTTGATGAGAAGAGTATCAGAAAATTGGAAGGATGGGAACATCATCCTAATACAGAGGGAAGGATATGACAAGGACTTGAAGAATTACATGCTGATTACCCCGCTCTCCGTAGTATACAAGGTATTTATGAAGGTAATTGCTAAATGAGTTAGGAAAACATTAAGTTTAATCAAACAAAGGAACGAGTAGTATTTCGAACAGGCTACTCACAAAAGGACCACATTCATACTATAAATCAAGTATTAGAAAAATTCTCAGAATATTATCAACCAATATACGTAGCCTTGTGAGAAGGCATATGATTCAGTAGAAATATCAGCAGTTATGCAGACACTGCGCAATCAAGGCGTCGATGAAGCATATATAAACATCCTGGAAAAAATCTACAGGGTATCAACTGCTGCCATGGTGCTTCATAAAGAAAGTAGCAGAATACCAATCAAGAAGGGTGTAAGGCAGGAAGACACAATCTCCCCAACGCTATTTACCACGCGCTT